AATTCAACAGTGTAAAGAGCAGCAATAAAAGAATGCCCTAAACTGTTCACAGCAACAACAAACCTTAGCTGATTCGTATCGCCAGTGATTATTTCCTTCGGCATCTACAAAATTCCACCACCGGAGTCCGACAAGAAGGCGGCCTGTTATATTTTTCACGGTCCAAAAATCAATTGAAAGCAGCGTGAGCTAAAAAAAGAAGTACTGCTAAAAATCAGCATGCAAACAACTCCAATTTTTAAAAAAATTCAATACAGGACGATGCTTTGAAAAGGCTTTTAAGCTCACAATGATTAAAAACTGCACGATGAAGGAGTCTGTGAAAAAATACGCAAATACGTAGAAAAAAATGGCTGCTGCTCGGAATGCCACATGAGAAAGCACAATTGATGGATGCCTGAAACAGTGGTCTGTGTGTATCGATAAACTGCCGGGAATGGATGGCCCTTTGCATAAAGCCTCTCTGCATCAACGAAGAGATAAAACTTATTCGAATACCTTTAAAAGAGGAGTCTCAGCGCGTCTCCTGACGTTCCTGTGGGGAAACAGGGAGAAAGGGCCGGGACAAAAATTTGTCCGGCATGTATTTCACTCATTTTAACAGGCTATCCCCGTATGCCCGTATTTTGTGTCCCTCGACTGCTGCATCGAACATGGGGTTAATGGACCGAAACATTTCTTACCGAATTTATCATCCCAATTTTATTTATACCTTTCCTTTTATTCCTTTTGACCTTTTTCATCATCCATCTGCATATTTTCCAACTAAATTTTCCACTTAACCTTAAATGGGGTTACTTCAAAATCTCGGAACTTTCTGATCTACAGGTGCAGCAGTGCAGTTCTTATCGGTCCCAATACTGCCCTGAGTATCTGAGTTCAGAAAACAGTGAAGAGTCTGAAAAGTGCCCCCGGGTAACCTCTCTCCCCCTCTTAAGCCTAAGAAATCGCTATTCAACTGACTACCAAATCAATTTTGCTAGTATTATTTGTTCACAGAAATGTCCTTACCGGTGCGCAACCTTTAAAATGTGGGAAAAAGAAACGCACTCTATCAAGTAACAGTAACGGTGGAGCTGCAAATGATACCTGAACATTGCGCCGCTGGCAAATCTTTGTCCCTGTGCAAAATTTAACGAGGAATCGAAATTAGCGGCCATAATTCGACCCTGAAAAGCAGTCACTACACAGAGCACTACGGAGAAAGCATTCCGTCATGACAACTTCTCTAACAGTCCAATTAAAATAAATGGCAACGCGCACCAGACTAGCCGGTGCGATCATGCGTTTTGTGCAATTCAGC